CATCAATTTCTTCAGTGAACATGTCAGCAGAATATACAGCAGCATCACTCTTACAAGTCACATCTTTTGACATTTATCTGTCCAGTGAATATAGAGATGGTAGAAAGGAATACTTGGAGAAACATTCTAATTTTATTATTCTTCTCAGAATGCAAAGTTGCTTTTTATCTGCTGTGGAATCCAAGTGCAGCCTTGAAAAATAACTCCAGGATGCCAACATTTCTAGATTCTGAAATTGAACTTCAGTAGAATATTAATGAAAATTAGACAGAACTTCTTTGTGTGCTAGGCATCAGAACTCCAAACCAAGAGAATTTAATCTCCATATTGCTATGTGAGCGGTATCTTTTCATTCTGTTTTTATCTCAGGAGGTTTCCCATTTGTGTTGGTTTTTAAAAAGGTTTCACAGATGTTAAACACTAAAGGGCATTTTCATGGTTAATTTTAGCTAAATTTAGCTAAATGGCGTTTCTGTTAGAACACTGAGATGCCTGTTTTTCATTTGGCTTGTTATTTGGAAAATCTTCCCAAAGCAATATTTAAATTAAAAATAAATAATGCATATTATTTTAAACATAACATTTTTAGGATTTATTCCCCTGGATTGTTTGGTGGTAATAGCCCTGGGGAATAAGGGAAGAGAGTAAATCCAGCTGAGATGGCTTTGGGGGTGGTGGTCTTCTCCTGTTTTCTCTTGCTGGGACTCTTCTCCCAAGGCATTTGCTGATAATTCCTAGGGTTGGAGTGGGGAGAGAAGAGGATTTAGAATTTTAGACAGCTTAATTTAATTTAATTTAATTTAATTTAAACAGCTTAATTTAAAATGTGCAAGGTAGTACAATTTAAGATTAGAGTATCCTCCTTTCTAGCATTGGGATATGCCTATAAATTTAAAATACATGTGAACTTTATACTCATGTTTTATATTCTATTTCCCTCTTTCTCTCTTCTCAGCACAATCCATTTAAGATTTGCTGTGTTAAATAATCACAACTTTCCATTATGTTTTAACTTGGAAAATCCGTTCCTTCTAAAAAGCTAAGATTTGAAATTACAAATGGAAGCTTATTTCCCAGTTTGAAGAAAATAGAAATCCAAGCTTTCAGGAAAAACATGACTACATTTTTAAGCCCCCTAATTGCTGAGAGTTTTAGCCTGGCCCCAATCAAATGTAGTTAATAGCGTTGCTAATTTAGCAGATAAACACAAATATAAAATTAAAAATATATTTCAACAGCTGTGTACTTTAATTTTTCCAGAATAGGATGCAATGGCAAATATGTTCATAATTCATTACATAGACTATTCCAAAATATAGTGCTTGTTTTAATGAATATTCTCAGATATTCTTATGATTAAAGCCATGCACACTCATCTAGTATCATCCATCTACCACTGGGATTTCAGAGAAAGCTACAGTACCTATTGTTCGATAACTCTTACCAGTAGTATCCAACCAAAACTTTCAGTTACTCTCTTGTTGTAAGTTTATTCCAATTGCTAATTTTATGTAATTCTCTATTGTTATTTCTGCTATGAGTGTCCTAATTTGGCATTTATATTGTTCCATTGTGAACTTTTGTTCCCCAAATTCTCTATGGCATCTAATTGGCATAGTTTTATTGCAGTGAATAGAAATATCCAGCTTTACTAACGTGTCTGCATTTTAAGAAAATGTTTTAAGTCTCTATATTCAGGAACAATAAAATAAAGAGGAAAAGAAACAAGGTAAGTTTAGGGCAACTCTGAGAAAAGTGTTTCCACTGTATTATTAAGCAACAATAATATAAACCTGACAATCATTTTTCTGTATTTAAGAATAAGAAAGTTCCTCATAGACAGATGAAATGTCTCCACTGTTATCAAATGTTCACTCTTAACACCAGCCATATACAACCCAGCCAATAATTATTTAGATGAAGGAGTTGCAGCATAATAATAGGGACCTAAACCATAAATTTAATCATAATCTGTTGAATAAGGCATAGTGGCCTCTTTCACACAGCGTACTAAGCTATGACCCAGTATTGGGTCTTAAGTATTTAATTTCTGGTGTTGGGTAAAGGTTCTGTATGTGAGGTCCTTGGTGCTCCTTGACAGTGGTTGTTTTCTTGCAGATATTTCATTAACCAGATTAGGCAACATCATCAGTGCTAGTAGGGTGTAGGGTTTGCTCTCATTTTATGTACCAGTGGTTGCCCTGTCAGTGTTGGTAGGAGTGGTGGTTATTTGATTGGTTTATTGTTTGCTATTAGCTAGTTTGACAGTTCTTTGATTGGGGTATTGTTTGTTTCTTGATAGTTGGTCTAATGTTAATTTTGGTGTTAATCTCTGCTCATCTATATGCAAAATTATTCTGCCATTATTGACATGCTTCTCCATACCACAATGCGACAAGGATATCAGTGCTTACTACTGTCCTCTTGTGAATTTGAGAGGCTTGGTGTTTTGTGTGTGTGTGTGTGTGTGTTTGTGTGTGTGTATGTCTGTGTGGTGTATGTCTATGTGTGTCAGGGATGGATGGATGGATTATGGACAGATCCTAAGACCCGTTTCAGTTGTCACGCACAAGGTGTATTTGATTATTTATTTTGCATTCTATGCTGCACACACTTGTTTTTTTACTCCTTATTACAAATTTGTGAGTTTTCATAACTGCATGTATAGTAGTTTTCTCACAAAATGCTTTTTCCTGGTTGCGCTTTCATTTAATTGTTATGCCACCTCCCCAGGGGAAGGCAATGACAAACAAGCTCTGTATTGTTATCAAGAAAACTTGTATTGTTATCAAGAAAATTATATCACCCAAAGATGAATTTAACTTTAGTTTGGTTCAGAGAGTAAGCAGCATAAATTATAGTTGAGTGCCCTGAGAAGTTGATAAACCCTCTTTCCATTTAAAAAAGCAGCATGGAGCACAGCTAGGTTTAGAGGTTTAGAAATCATTAGACAGTAACTACCTTGGAACAAATATGCACAATTACCAATGAGTTTGTTATCAGCATAAAAATGTTGCTACTGTAGACTGTCTTAATGGTTTTTATGAGTATCAGGCACACAACAGAGTGGAGGAAACTGCCATTTGTGCCTTGTTTTCACATAAAGTAAGCTACTCTAGGATATTGTGACAAATATGTTTTCTTTATGGAACACTCAGTCCAGAAAATACTGCAAAAACATGTTTTTTACCTACAGCTGAAGATGGAAACGTCCATCTTCCCATGCTTAGAGAATATAAGCCTTGAAATACACAGTGCCTCTGAAAATATATGTGCTTTGACAACAAATCATACAGGGTTGTGCATCCCTTAGTTGGGTGACATATGCTTATTCATTCTTTTTCATTTCTCTCAGAGATTTTTGGCAGTGTTGAAAATTACATCATGTTGTTGCAATTAAAATAATACTTTTAGCGTTTATCACAGGGTTTTCCTGAGTTTCTTTAGCAATATTTGTATTTCAACACTATACCAAACTTAATAGTTACTTTAAAAGTATCTGGAGATCATGTAGTTTCTAGAGAATTCCTCTTTTACAATCATTTCTGCTGTTTGCTTCAAACTCCAATGAAAATGGCTGCTTCATTATTGAACAATTCTTGCTATTAGGGAACTTTTCTTTATATTTTGTCAAAGTCTGTTTCCTTGAAATTCCTTTCTAGTCTCCCCACTATTATTATTATTGTTGTTGTTGTTGTTGTTGTTATTATTATTCTCTTGTAAAAAATTACAGCCACGCACTCTCAATAATAAGCATTCCTTTAGGACATAATTGCAGTCATAGGCAGGCAAATATGCACACATGTAAATGAAGTGTTTAGAAGTTAAGTACTGTACAGAGAAAGTGTAAACTAGTGCATGTGAACCAATCTAACATAAAGTTGAAAAAATACTGAAGATTTTGGCATGTGATTATAAGATTATGGAATTGCATATATTTGAAAGCTACCCAGGCTCCAGTTTCTACAAAATACATTTGGTATTTTGGTAGTATAGCAAAACAGCGGCTATAAAATCTGGGTGGAGAGGTGGTTCTCTTTCTCCCCTGATCTACTAGAACTTGACTCTTCCCATAAGACCTGGTTATTTCAGCAGGCAGGACTGGCCTAGGGGTATTTTAAAGGGGTTTTAAATTAAATTTTTAGTAGAAGCGGCCAAATTTGAATAGTTATTTTTAATCTTTTTTAAATTTTGTATTGTACTGTACCATTGTTTTAAACTGGCTGTAAGCCGCCCTGAGTCCTCCGGGAGAAGGGCGGGGTATAAATTTAATAAAATCAAAATCAAAATCAAATTGTCTATAAATTGATAAAGTGAAGTACTTCACAAAGCATCTTGTGAACACATATTTTCAGTTATCATAAGATATGATGATTTTTGGCGTTAAATGTTTTTTTAATTGTTGCAAGTTATGAGTTCACAGTATGCAGATTGAGAATGGAATTGAGAAAAACATAATTATAGCATTGCCTCCTCCTGCTAAATGGCCCTTTAATGTCTATGAAATTATTGGGAAGGGCATATTTGGTATAGCCATAGTGTTGAAAAAAGGAAAAACCCTGCTTGAATCATGATGATAACCTACATGAAGACATAATATGAATGTATATAGGGACTGTTTGCACCTCACTGAATGTTCTACCATGAGTCCATTTTCTCCTATGTGGCTTTATGTTAATGTGCTAGAAATATATGAAAATATTTTTGTGTGATCAGGCTAGAAAATTATTGGAATACTAAATAAAAAATCATGGTTTCAAATTAAAAAATGAATATTGTTGTAGTTCCCTTGAGGTGTTAATTTCATTCTTATTGATGTTGTACTGTATACAGTACTCAAAAGAGCCCTATAATTGAAAGTGGCCTGTGCTCACACTATGAGCTTGAGGTTGATAATGAAGAGCAGAGAAAGTGTCTCCCGACCCATGAACTTCCTTTGTAGATCTGATGTTGCACAACAGTTGTTATATTCCTAAACACGTGGTGAGGACAAGGGCATGATGAAATGGAAGCTATTTCATGACAGTTATGAGAATATGGAACTGAAAAATCTCCCAGATGGAAGATCTGGTTTTGAGAGCGTAATGCTGGTTCTGTTATTTTTTCATTGTTTTGTTACTGATCACTGGGTGGAACCAATGTAAAGTATGACTTAAGGTTTTTATTAAATTCTTTCTATGCTTCTTTTTCTTTCTTACAGCCCTTCACAGAACTCCTTGATGATTTTTCCCAGGATGTTTTGGGGCAGCTCTTGAATGATCCCTTCCTGTCTGAGAAAAATGAGATGATGGAAGTGGAATTATCACCAGTTTCTCCAGCTCCCCTCATCCAGGCAGAGCATAGCTATTCCCTTTGTGGGGACTCTCGGCCCCAGTCGCCATTGACCCATATTTCAGCTGATGACAATTTCAATGAAGGTAAAAGAATGTAATGAATTTTGCTAACCAACTTCTGGAAATTACATTCTCACTATTGGTTGCCTTGAGGTGTAGCCTGTCTAGAATCTTGAAAGAGGCAATAGAGTGTAAATATCTTAGAATTTCAGACATTTCCAAAGGGTGCTGTTGTCAGGGGGAAAAAAATTAACCAAAAAACAAAAAAATGGTTACCGTTCTACTGACTAACAATATTATTAGTAACTAGCAGCCTCTTTGGAGACCATATGTGGGACAAAAGGTTTGAGTATTTTAAACAACTGAAGCTATATTCAATCTGTATTATTGTAAATACACTCAAATATTACAAACTGCCATTAGCCTCTGGTGATTGTATCCGCAGAAAATGGGACTCCTGTTTATTTATTTTAGAAACCTGCTTGATTCCAAAATGATTCTGGACAGCAAAGAGAGGTGGAAGATTTGTTTTATCCGACCACTGTTCTACTTGTGGCTATTTGTGCTGCATTTATTTAATTGGATCTTGCTTAACATCCCGCCAACAAATCAATGCACACATTTCTAAAAGTAGTGTCAGTTATCATCCTTACCATTTTCAAGTAATAGTTCATGACATGTTCTCTTTCTTGAATGAATAAAAATATGTGAGAGTGATTTTTTAAAAAAATATATAGGAATTCATAATCTCAGCAAGTGTAGAGGGCCTTGAGTGAAGGCCTAAATGTAGAAAGGGAATTAAATCATATATTTTTATGGAAGGAAATCCATGCTTGAACGTTGAAATATTCATGTTCTAGGCAATCAACTCTCCTGGCCCTGTGTCATCTGCATCTGCTTATTGCTCTCACAAAGTAGTTTTCATAGGGAGGGGGCAGTATATATTCACAAAATGGATGCCATGGTGATTATAACTCGCCCATTGATGGAGATAGCTGGAGAGGTTGCTCCTTACTACTTCGATTACCTCAGGTGACCTCTGACATTTTTCTGGGCATTTGGGCATACTTTGAATGAAGCACTGAGATATTATTTTTATTTCGTAAAAAATGTTATGGAGACTATGCAGAACTCCAAAGCATTCTTGTTATGCAAGACTGCTTTGCTTTCCAGCATGACAGCTTCCATTTCATTTTTTTCAAAACTGAAAATCCAAAAAGAAATTACAATCAGATGGACCTAGGAGTTTACCAAGATGATGTGTCTGCACGTATCTCTCATTATCAATCAGTTCTAATTAATACATTTTTTTCTATTGAAAATAGACAACTATATCCAAGATCTTAGGGAGCCCAAGACTTAGAGTTACTCATATGTCTGGTGAATCATTGATGATCTTTTTACTGTTCTAAGCGCTGATGCCTGTTTATCAAGCCTGCTGAGATGGAATTGGATAAGAGCTGGAATAAAACAATATTTTTTTTTCTTTCTTCTTCATACAGTTTCAGTTTCTCCCACATACCAAGGTTTCCCCTTTAAAAGAAAATAGTTATTGGAAACAGAATCTTAATTCATATGACAGTGGAGTCTAATTGTTTTTTGATAGCAAGTTTCTTGATGTGTGTAAGCAATCCAAGTCAAGCTTTAAACCAGATGGGGATTTTTGACAAGGGAAAGTTGCCAAGATCACTGTCACAGGATACTTGTTTTGCTTTTGCTTGCAAGTATATACCATTTCTTGACACTTCCAAAGCAGAAGTATATTAATACAATTGCAGACTGGACGCCTGATTCTTGAGTCACATCTACAGTTATCACATGTCTTTTATGATGGAGGACAGCCCTTTTATTTCAGACAGCTACCTTTTAGATTTATTTAATCTAATTATTTAAATAATTCAGCAAAATAATAAACATATGTTTA